CACTTTATGATGTCTTTAAAGTAAACAAAAAAAAATGTCATTGTAAATACAATTAGTAACTTACACTGTGGGGAAATTTTCTGTCTTATATAAAATAACCTTACAAAGAGGAAGAAAGACAAGAATCGCCGTGCTGTTTTCCCGTCTTGTTGCAATTACACTTAGGTTTTTAATGTTTAGACATACATTTCTTTTATCTTGCAATGATATACATTCACGCTGAAATTTTCAATTGTGTTACTTCCGTCCGTTGTGCATTGTTATGCCACCCTTCTCCGTTTTAGCTATATTAACCCTATCAATAAATAATTTGAATGAATAGTTTTGTAATTCCGTAATTGGGTGAAATTTCTTGATTGTTGGTAGTGTTACTGTTATCTAAGACACAATACAGCTTACAGAATAAGTTTACCAATATATTCCAAATAATTTTGTCCTGAAATAGTGAAATCCATGGTGTACGGGAGACAGTTCTTGATATTCACCTCATTATAGACATACGAAAAACGTCTATAGGTTTGAAAGAATAACACTTTTGTACAAGAATGCACAAAAACAAACTTAATTATCAAACATTGATAAAGCAACTAGTTCTGATAACGCATACCAATCCGGATTTTTTCCGTCACAGCTGATATCCAAAAAGTTCTTAAATATAAGTATTTCCCTTTTGCCGCCAAACAAAAGCCGTAAAAGCTAGGCCTATGCATTTGTTCATTTTTGAGATTATTGATAACAAAGAGCAGATGTTAATGAGATGGATGTAATGATAAGAATTTCGAGAACTGTAATTTGTTGTTTGAACTGTTGTTTGAAAATGGTTTTACTAGAGATTTTAGATTTGTGTATGTCATGATGTTTAGTTAATCGACCAAGTTTGTCTTTTTCTATTTATTATCACGGCAGAATCTAGCCATATATGATCAACGGAGGAAGTGATGGCAGATGCTTGGGCAATAATGAAGCTCCTGCACGTACACACGTTTTAAATAACTTTCGAACTTAAGTATAGGATGGCGAATTCCAAATCTAGCAAAAAGTCTGGAACACTTTATCAGAAATGGCTGGAAAGATGTAAAAACCAGTCCTTTTCTGTATACTCGACAGCCATAATCTTAAGTTTCTTGTAAATAAAACCACAAATACATGACCAGGATGACGTCTCGGTTGATTTTTTCCGAAGAAAATGGTGGATTAGACCTGGTTTGATACATTGTGGAGCTAGTTAAATCTCCATTTGTATGACAGTTGTTTATAGTTTCGTTATATTGATAAATTTGGGTGAGCAACTTAAACAAGCCTAATTGGTTAATGTGATAATAATTGGGATCGGGCAGCCAAAAATGTGAAAGCATGCATCACATACATACAAAACAACCGAATCAAAAATTCAAACAAACAGTAATTGATTGATCTTTGACATGACTCAACCAGTTGTTTTATGAAATTATACTATGCTAACATTTGGAATAACATAGGTTTAGCCGTTCTTATAAGTGTTGTAGATAGGGGCATGTAAATAAACTCATCATAAATACAAGTATTAAGATTTTGTACGCCAGACGCGCGTTTCGTAAACCACCATAGTTTTTGTTTAATTGTTTAGATAAAATAACGTATCAAAATATTGCACACGATGTTCTTAGGTATAATAACTGTATGCAATGCATATTGTGCTTATATTCATCGATATCGTCAGTTGATTTATTGATTCATCTTACTGATCTGGTGACAACAGCAACATATATATATATATATATGTATTATCAGACCATTATGCAAGGTCTTGGTCTTATGTTTAAGAGTTACACTGGGAGTACTCGACATTAACATTTACTTGTCCTTCGTGAAATTTATAAGGGTTTGATAAGTTGTACTAGTATTGTAGTACACATAGTGTAATGTATTAGTTTTTATCCACAAACAGATGGAAAGTATAGGTTTGGCATGATACTTGAAATCAGTTATTACCGATAAAAGCATTGAATTATTTTCATGTTTAATTTTCATTTGCTATATGTTAATGGTAACTAGCTATTTTAGGTATGACCAAAGAAAGACAAAAAAGAAAATATATCTTCTACCTAATACATATATTCAGAAATATATAACCTTACATTAAGTTAAGTTTTAGATAGTGGTATGTTGCACTTACAGGTAAAAGGTATTTACTTCAAATCACACATCACGAACTATTCCAAACACAATCAGGTGTCGGAAAATTCAGCTTCACTAACAACGCCTATAGTGTTACTCATGATACAGTCTGTCGATAAAATAATAGGGCATTAATGATAATTGTTTGGCAAATTAGAAAATTAAAATTAATTTGCAACTTAATATCAAATTGATAAAAAATTCAAAGAAAAACTTTTAGCAGAATAACCAAAAACTTAAGTAAATTTGTACTTTTCACACAATAGTTAAAGCTTTTCTTGCAATATTTTTTTATTTTCTTATTTAATCGAATGAAAGCTGCATATGTTATATCAAAATCGATAAGTTATCAATGGTTAGCATTGAAAATAATACCAAGCGTCTCACTAATTTAGCAATTGTCTGTGAGAGTCACTTAGAAAAAAAACTTGGAATTGAATGACAGTCATTGTTAAATGTTTCATTAATGACCAGGTGCTTATCAGTTGCAGATGACAGTGACTTGAATTAATCTGCACTTCTCACAAATATCAATCTGGATAATACATTCTTTTGAAAAGAGATTCTCCGATTCTGGCCAGAACATTTGTAACGAAAAAGGTAAGACAAAGCATAAACGATTTTAGTACCTCACCTTGACTTTGTGACAAGTAAACATCATAAAATATATTTTTCTCTCATTTCCATAGGATTTTTGAATAAATAAAAAATTGTTAAATATTTTAATTGAAACTTTGTTGCGTAATAGTTGCATATTCAAATTAATTTTTCCGCAAATCATCCGACACAAGAATACTTAATGAGAAGTACAACATGTATATATGACTGCCATTGAAACAACTATCCACCAAAGTTCAAATGAAGTTGATCTAAGTTGTTATAGGCAACTGTACGGCCTTCAACAATGAGAAAAAAAACCATACCGCATAGTCGGACATGAAAAATATAAAACAATTCAATTGAGAAAACTAGCGGCCCTATTTATAACAAAACAATGCCTCCATTTCTTTGATGTTCACAGTTTTTAAGGTTGATTGCTTTATTGTCGTTTACTTCACATCTTTTTTATGGAACGTTGCATGTCATTTCAAGTTAATGCGGTCTGTATATCTTATCAAATATTTTATTAAAATAAAGAATTTGGGAAAAAAAAAAGAAATGAACTGATAAAGGTGGAACAAAAACATGGATCAATTATAGACTTTTACTTTTATAAATTGTTACTTGAATGGAGAGTTGTCTCATTGGCACTCATACCACATCTTCCTATATCTTTTTACAGAAGTAAGGAAACAAAAACAAATGTACAATGTCTTCAAAGGTAAGCAAATCCTTCGGTTGCTTAGCCTTTATAAATGAATGAACTCAAAAATAATCCCACATTTTTATGCACCTGTCCTAAGTCATGAACCTGTTGTTTAGTGGTAGTCGTTTGTTGGTGTGGTTCATAGGTGTTTCTCGTTTCTCGTTTTTTATTAAGATAAGACAGTTGGTTTTTCTGTTTTAACTGTTTTACACTAGTCATTTCGGGCCCCTTTATAGCTTGCTGTTCGGTGTGAGTCAAAGTTCCGTGTTGAAGGCCGTACTTTGAACTATAATTGTTAACTATTTATACATTGTGACTTGGATGGAGAGTTAGTTGTCTCATTGGCACTCATACCACATCTTATAATTATAAAATCTTCACTAACATATTCCTAAACAAGAGGCAAAACAGCCAAAGGTCAAATTGTCCGAATAAAAGGTTACCTCAATCAATTAGATATTCTAATTATGAGTTGAATTTTGCATCCATTTAATAAAGTAGTGATTACTACTAGATTACTGAAGACGCAATATGTTTTCTTCTCTTACCTAAGTAGGAATACTATTTTGTTTTTACCAATGCCCTATTTGATGTTGATGTGAGTTCATGTTTTGCGCAAGTATGCTCCTTTTTGTCGTATGACACTTGATATGACTCGGTATTTGCGATCCAGCTGACGGTTTGTAAAATATGGGCGTACCTACTGAGTCCTGTAGTAGCTGTTAACAGTATTGCGTATGTCGTGTTTACTCTTGTATTTTTTTTATTTTGCTGTATTTGTACTTTATCAAGAAAAATGTATACTAGTAATGCACTACATTTTGATTTACTATTCTACTATCAACTGCAAAAACATTTGTTTGCGTTTTTGTCATATTTATGTTTATGTATTTTTTGTTTTTCTGTTGTTTTTTTTTTTTTTTTTTCTTTTTTTTTTTTTAGTCAGTTGTGTAGTATTTCTGTGATGTATCGTAACCTTGTTTTGCTGCTAGGTTCTAGTTGTTGTTACATAAACCAATTATGTCTTTTGGAGTTGCTCATCGAATTTTGTCAACAAGACGGAACTATGACCACATGTCATATAAGTGGAAGGTTAACTGGCTTCATGCATAAAACCAGGTTTTACCTGCCTTCGAAAAATGCCTTTACCAAATCGGGAATATGACAGTTGTTTTCCATTCGTTTCGATGACTTTTTTGATTTTCCATTTATTTTTGTCAGGTTTTATTGACTTACTTGTTTTTGAATTTACCTTTGAGTTTTCTTAATATTTTTCATGGTTAATATCTTTAATGTACCACAAGCCAAAGTTGAATTTTACCAAAATCACTTCTTATATAATCGCATAATATGTATCACTTATTATTAGTGTCTAAGTATAACAACAGAATTCCTATTATACATATGCAAAATAAGGTATATGAATGTTGCTGCTGAAAAAGGAATAATTATATTGACGTCTGAGGTACAAAGAAGATTTTAAAAAATAAGAACATTTAAAGATATCGTTATCATGGTAATGCTAAATAGGATTTAACATTTTTATAAAGAAAAACAGACAAAACAAAAAAGCAAGCAAAGAGAAGATACAGTCTACCTATTTAGCAGAGAAACGCTGTATAGTTTTAAGACTGTAAGTTGCTTTATAGATGCACTTAGTTTTTTTGTTCGACTTTTGTTCGGTATCATATCGGTAAGTTACTCATCTCCTGTTATCTATAATAATTTACGATGCATGTTTACCTTAATGGAACTTCAATAGTGTATGACCCTTTACAAATTTGCTATATATGATTAATTTTGGTAAAGAATGAACACTATGTCGGAATTAATTTAGATTAGGTTTCAATGTATACAGATTTATTTACACGTGTAATTTTAATTAAACATTCCGAACGTAAGATAAAAATAAGGCGCTGTGGTCTGATTTCCAATGAGACATTTATCACGCAGAGTCAAAATGACGTAGTTGTTAGCAACTATACGTCAACATGATCAAGTACAGCATTCAACTATTAGCCAAACATATAGCTTATCGTCAGCTGCGTTCGTAACAACTTTCAAAATCAGTTATTCAAAATTAAACATCTGTGCTGATGGCAAATAAATTGTAGGATTTTCTGTTTCCTAATTGGGAAGAATGTAGCGAAATTATTACCTTAGTTTGATTGTACTTAAGAGTTCGAAACGAAGAATGTTAATCAATACGTTATTACTGTCCGAACGTACATTTAGCAGCTTGACAAGATTTTTGATTGAAATCGTTTAACTGTTGAGCTTAACAGGAAATTATCTAAATATATATTGAAGTTATAGTGATTGTAATTAGCTCCAAGACTCGGCTAATTTGATAATGACTCAACATAACAAAGAAAAACAAATATATCATTAATAAAATATGACCTAAACAAATATAAGACTTAAAATACTGGCGCAACAAATGTTATGACTGGTAGCCTTGGGGACTTTTTTCCTCAAAACAATGACAATAGACATTTTTTTTAATTCTTTATGAAAGGCAATTTATTCCTTTTATTCGAACTCTAATATTTCTGTTTTAATTGGTTACCTTACACAAAACAGTGGTATTTAATGTTAAAATTAGGCATTTGGTTGGAATTCAATCAAGATTTAACTTGTTTCCAAATTTATCTATTTAAACTTAAAATAAACAACACAATATATTCAATTAGATCATTGCATGATTAAAATTCATATTGATAATAAGGAAATATACAAGTCCTACCTTTTTAGTATTATTGTGTCATTTAACGTCTAAAACGTTAAGTACTTCATTATTTAATTCATTATTTTCATTTTTGTAATCAAGCACGAAATCAGTGAATGATAAAAAGCAACCAGGATGTTATTTGCACCTGCCTTTTTCACTATTCTCAGTTTGTTAAAGAATGATGGTTTCTGTCTTCCTGACAAGTACTCGTTAACGCTTATATTTATCATGACGAGAGGTATTATCATAAAAGAGCCTTATAAAATCTATTATTATTGCACTATCATATATAATTTGATCGAAGAAGTGCCCTCAATCCAAAGGTCGTTAAATAACGATCGTTGCTTCGTTTTCGGTGGGTATAATTAGTATGTCATTTGCATATGTAACTGCCTCCGGGTTAAGTTATACAACATGGAAATCAATAATAAATGTTTGTATATAAAACTAGGAAAACAAAAACATAAAAATATATAGATGTACGAACATGATATAGAAGATCTAAACTGTTTTTCGTAAGTAGCACATTGAACATTTGAATGTTTGATTTTAAACTATGAATAGAGTGTTTAGACATCATGCACAATTTTATTTGAATCCTTAAAACATACATTTTGGCTAATATATATTGAGCTGCGATGCATATGTTTTGATATAGTTCAAATGCAACAATTTTTTGTTGTTTTTTTTTTTTGCGATATGCATCATATTTTATGTAGCGCTCAGTTTGCAAAAGTTTTCATCGTAAAACAAAGGAAATGTTAATTATTTGCCCGTAAGGATCCTGAGAGCTTTTGTAACCACTGTGTGTCTGACGTCGTTAACCTGGAAACTATTATAAACCTGATATTTAATTCTTTATTTGGCCTTTTATTTCTTTTTATTCGAGCGTCACTGATGAGTCATTTGTAGACGAAACGCGCGTCTGGCGTACAAAATTTTAATCCTGGTATATATGATGAGTCTATAGATAAGAAAAACTGTGAAGAATAAATGAACATTACACTTTGTAAATTTCGTGAGTCCAAAACGTTTTTCTAAATTGCACTTCATCAGGCTTATGAAACAGTAACAAATTACACGATGATAAGAATTTTTTATCGACTCTTCACACATTTAAAATGAATAATTGCCCTTTAACGAATATTTTCACCATTATTTGCTGTTGTTTGTTGCTGTTGCTATTTTATTTACAAATTTATTGAATAAAGATATTGCTAACAAAAATATGATTTGCACATCAATATCTACAAAATGCCAGGTTGACAGAAATTGATTATTGACTGTTTGTAGGAATAACTGACGATTTTTACCATCATTTGCTTTTCTTTTTTCAAATACAGATCTGTTTGATCTGTATCAAACCTGGCCACAAATATTTTCAAACATATTCAAGACTAATCATTATTAAGATTTGCAGGTACAAAATTTTGGAAATTATTTTAAATTCAGAAAAATATCTCCATCATGCAATGCTCTGATTACTTTTGTTATATTTATTGTCCTTTTCGGTATATACACTCTTTTCAAATAAGTTATTGATTTTCAAATATTTTGTCTTAAGCATCACTGAAGAGACATTCATTGTCCTCTGCTGCAGATGATATGGTACATTTGTTATATTGCTAATGATAATCATTGTATATCTAGATAATGACAGATGAATATATGAAAAAAAACAAGGCTGTCGCTGGTTCTGATTGACAATAAATCTTTATATAATCGTAAAAATTCATAAAAGATAATATCAATTCATAATGTATACCAAGTAATGCTACAAATCTCTAATTAAAAACAATAACTAATTTAATTTCGTGAACAGGAAAGCATTAGCACTGTTTAACTTATATAAATAGCAACAATAAAGTTAACGCATTGCGTAACCAAAAACTACTGTTAATGTATCGTCAATGTATTAAGTAAAGCCATGGATCTTTTATTCTCCTTGGTTATTTGATTTTGATTGACAGAATATTTTTCTTTTAATGCATTATAAATCAATTTTGTACATTTAAGTTGTGCATCCGTGGCTTCGGCGTTAAATGTTTGCGTGATCAAACTATCTAAGCTGTCACTTTAAAGTTCAATCGATGATATCATACTAATTTGTAGACTTTGACACTCATGTTACAAAGACCATTTATATTAGTGTTTGACAAATTTGTTTATATATATTTTGTCAGCACATGAATATCAGTTCTCACTTTTCGTATTGCCCCATTACGTCAATGGTTTGTTATTTTTATTTCAGGAGCTGTAAGAATGGAACCTAAGGTAAACATTTCTTTTCTAAGTGTGAAATGCAGATTTCCCCTTATGTAGGGTATGTTTTACACAACTGGGCTGATATGCATAAAACCACTTAAGTTAAGATATCCAATCGTAGTACTTATCTATCATAGGACATGTTGAAAAATTCGTCCGTTCGGAACAAATCTTAACTAACGTAGTTGTATGCATATCAGCCCAGGTGTTCTCAATTTTAAAGAGCATAGCATGAATAAATGAGTATTAAATTCTGCATGATGTTAATCGATATTTGATAGTTTATAATCATAATTATATTCATTTTGAAGACAGACTTCTGGAAGATATTCGATATCAAAAGTGTATTAATATTAAAAGTTCATGTGTTGTCGGCCTGACTAAAAGACATAATGTTTATAAATGGTCATCAGTCTTATCTTACTTAATTGCAAGAGTATATCAAGAAATCTGTAATAGAAAGAGATTTTCTGTATATGAATATAGGAAGATGAATGTATGTCTATACAACTGCAGGCTAACAAAACAGTAAAACAAAACAATATTTTATTGGCAAAAGTAATATCATGGTCAATGAAAAAACTAGCACAGCAGACGTTAAGCTGTACATAAATATCAGCTCTTGGCTAGTACATAAATATCATTATTTTTTAACAAACAATATAACCTTGAATGTCAATTATGCTTTTGTTTTTTCCCCATTTTTCTTAGACTTTGTCGGGTAATAACTGGTAGTCTTTGTCAGATTTCCGTGTACGACATAGTGTATAATTTGTTGAAATCATCTACAGTGGGGTTAGTGAATGCTTTATTGTAGCAAAAGAGCAAAGAGTCCCACTCCATTCGGTGCTAGAGGCCGTCCTGAATTTGCAATAAGATGTGAACTGTTGCTCTATATTGAAAGCCTCACTGTTACGTTGAGATGTAGAACAACACAGAAAGCACTTTTACTTTGCTAACGGCTTGTCAAGCGCATCCATTAAATGGGTTTTGAATTGATACACGATATCTTTTCATCTCAATTTTAAGATAGTGTAATGGATACAACTTGTTAATTAAACAATGGCGCTAATTCTTATTTGATCGATTACTATGCACTCCAACTTTGGTATTTTATAATGAGGATTGATTCTTTTCTTAATTGATTAAGTTTTCGTGTACTAAATGTTCGGAAATGTTGACAACTTTATTACTTAAATTTCATAATAAAATGTTCAGCCAAAGTGCTTTAGCACATACAATATCAAAATGTCTTAAGTTAGCGCTACATTCAAATACTTACACTTGTAAAAAGATATAAAAGTTGTTTATCGTAATTTGCACCACCTTGTAATGATCAATGAAATCCAGAGAAATTTAATTCGTTTAGACGATTATCAAATATATGTTTATTTTTTTCATTTACATAAAATATCAAAATATCATCGATGACTTAATGCTAAATCAGGTTTTGATAAGGTCACTTGTTATGCTTACTCAACAAACTGTTTCTCCATATTGCATATATGGAAAAAATAACACGTTTATACTATTCAGAGATCCAAGATGACTGTACCCTGTTTGCGCTGAATTTGTTTAATTGTTTTGTCGTCGTTGTAGATAACATTGTACGAAAACAAGAATTTCAGAGGAAGAAGCCAAGAAATAACAGATTCATGTCCAAATTTACTTGATTTTGGCTTCAACAACATAACATCGAGTGTAAAATGCGACAGAGGAGTGTATGTATAGTCCTGTCATTTTTATTTTTAATATTTTTGGTCCCTTTTATGTTATTAATACCACTAGATCGATACCTCTGCTGATGGACTGTTAGTGACCGAGTGTAACACCAGGCCAGTAACCAGTACTTTGGCATGAAAATATGGATATTGTTTGACAAAAATTTGCTGTTATAACATTTTTGAAATTATTTTAAATTAAGGAATATATCTCCCTCATACAAACCTCTGATTCCTTGTCCTGATGTGGCTATACTTTGGGTCATTTTTTGGTTTGATCCGCTCTTTAACAGTTGTAGTCGATTTTCGATATACAAATATTTTGGCCTTAAGCATCACTGAAGAGTCTCATCTGGTGCATTCAAATTGATCCGGTTTATGTTATTTCAAGTTGTCAGTTAAAGAAAAGATGTTAATAAAGAAAATACTTCTATTGAATATTATTTGAAGAATATAAATGTAGGGAAGATGAAAATTCACGTTTACATTCCATTATTATGCTCTTGAAATATATAACAATGAAAACACGATCTGTTTCTTTGAATGTGAAGAAAGTAAGATATTAGCAAAACAGAAAAACACTAAGTCGTGTAAACTTGGTCATGGTAAAATATCATATTTGTCCATGTGCATTTACAGATTTTAACAGGACAGGCTGAAGTATAAATTGTATCATATGATAATGTCTTTATGCTATTTAATAGATTTACACGCACTTTCGAAAAAAGAATGATTCCTCCCAAAAGGTCTTCAGTTTTGTAAAATGGCGGAAAACATATCACAAAGAGTTGGTAATGTATTAAAAAAATGCATAAGCATACGACTTATTGAATTGAACTAATGCCTTAACGTAGGTAAATATCAAAATAAAATTAAAATGTATGATTGAGAATTTTGAATTTAAAAAAATTTTGTGACGGTTGTCTTTATTTTAAAGATGATATAATATCCGATGTCAATCATGTCATATTGGTGACATAAAAGATCAATCTTGTTTCATATTTTCCCTTAAACACTAATTTAACGGACTTTTGACATTCATGTTGATAATCTGCGTATATAATAACGAGATACTAAAGGCACATTTAAAACACACGTGGTATCCGTCGTTTTGCGCATTATAAATAAAACATGTAAAGATTCTGTGATAAGTTTAATACGGTGAAGTCACTATTTTTGAAAAGAAGATGAAATTCCAGTTACGGCAATAGGAACAAATACATGGTCCTTTGTGACACTTATATTTCATAACGGTCGACCTAATCGTGATAACGTCCAACAAATCTCGAAAAGATGACTTCAATTTTCCACTTGAAATCCTTGGTTTAACAGCTCCATTGAAACCAATAACCCTCCATAGGGAACTCTTGGTAGGAAAGTCAAGTTCATGAATATAGTTTCAACTGGGAGATATATCATAAATATGCAGGCACTGTTGGAATGTTGCTGAAAAATAAATTGAACATTCACAATTGAAACGCTTAAATCATATCTTTTGTCTTTGAGTTGTGTAATCAATCGACCCTCTGTATCTATTTCAAGATCTTAATTAAGAATTATTAATGTATCTGTTGTATTGTAAAAGATGCAACTTACTAAGAAAATAATAATTTTTTGTAAAGATTTATGAATAACGGCTTTATTCAGTTCAAAATGTGTATTGTTATTGCCATATTCTTCATTATTAAGACATTCTTATTATTTTTGAACAAATAATATCTCGTGTATGGTACGTTTGGTACCATTAGAACGTTTAAACCCGCTGCATTTGTTTGCACCTGTCCTAAGTCAGGAATCTGATGTTCAGTAGTTGTCGTTTGTTGATGTGGTTCATAAGTGTTTCTCGTTTCTCGTTTTTTATATAGATTAGACCGTTGGTTTTCCCGTTTGAATGGTTTTACACTAGTAATTTTTTGGAGCCCTTTATCGCTTACTGTTCGGTGTGAGCCAAGGCTCCGTGTTGAAGACCGTACTGTGACCTATAATGGTTTACTTTTATAAATTTTGACTTGGATGGAGAGTTGTCTCATTGGCACTCATACCACATCTTCTTATATCTATTTACAGTTGACTAGGGAAATGCAAACATTATCCCACAATTTAATAATTAAGGGTTTTCAAATATAGACCTCTAAATTTGTGCATTTGGTAAACCGTAATAATACTTTATTTCAGTTTACCGTAATTTTTCTGCTTTATGTTTCTGTTTCAGGTGGATACTTTATAAGAACAAGAACTATGAGGGGAAAATATTTGTCATACAGGAAGGTGACGTTTATAGCAAATTCTCAAAGTATTTCAACAATAGAGCGTCATCTTTAAAATTGATATGCGACTACGTATGTACATATTAAATTTTAACCAATCTTCAAATATGTCATGATTTGTGTCAATACTAGTATTTGCTGTTACATTCTATATGAAGTGACAATCGTAAAAAAGGTTTCACTTAGAATGTCTACGATCTTTGACATCAAATTTAATAATAATATGAATCTAAACAATTAAAATTGAGAATGGAAATGGGGAATGTGTCAAAGAGACAACAACCCGACCATAGAGCAGACAACAAAACATGTATGTGTAAATGCTTGTAACTTCATTCTTCATTAAAGAGAGGCGAAATATACTTTAGGAATATTCAAACACATAAGTCAAAAACAAACTGAAAATGCCATGGCAAAACACAAACAAAATAACAATCAAATGACAAACAACAGTACAAAATACACAGCGTAGAAATCTGAGCAACACCAAACCACCAAATAGCCGAGGACGATCTCATTTTACCTATTATGTCTGTTTGTTTAGTTCAAACATTGTTGTCAATTTAATGTAATTGTATGCGACTGTCATACAAGTGAGAGGTTTAGCTAGCTATAAAACCAGGTTTAATCCACCATTTTCTACATAAGAAAATGCCTGTACCAATTCAGGAATATGACAGTTGTTATCCATTCGTATGATGTGTTTGAGTTTTTGATTTTGCCTTTTGTTTAGGGACTTTCCGTTTTTAATTATCCTCGGAGTTCGGTATATTTGTTATTTTACTTTTTGTTAATAAAAGGTAAATAGACCCTGCTTCACTTGTGGCACCCGTTGTGTTGCTCATGTAAGTATAAATCCAGTGCAGCCGAAACGCTTAGTTGATGTGGAAGGAAGTCATGATTACTACGTGATTTAAATCAACTGATTGAAGCTACTTTTATTTCTACCTTTTAACTCCCTCGAGCAATGAGGGATAAAAGTGAATCCAGAAAAGCGTCCGGGACTCTCAAGATTAAAAAAAAAATATTTTATATATTAGGATTTCACAGAAGAACCAGAATGTATAGTGTATGAAAACAATTTTTCTGGACGGTCTCTAACATTCATCGATGATGTGGAGAACCTTAAATGGTACAAATTTGATAACAGAATGTCATCGATTGTGGTGAAAAGCGGCGCGTAAGTCTTTATATTTATTTTACTCGATCTCCTGTTGACAAGTTTAATTTCACAAACATGTATTGTTTGAAATATAATATATAATTTCTCTACACTTATCAACATTTCAAATTATATACAGATAACTTACTGATGATTTTATCGGAAAAAGTTTACGCATGCCATGGTCTTCTTTTCCAGTTAAAATTCAAATAAATCAGAAATAGGTTTTTTTTCCACTACAGATAATGTGATCCGCCGTATGATCACACCAATCATCGATGATGATAACTAAAGTATGTTAGCTATTTCCTGTTTCGTATCTTAGTTAGAAAAAAGAGAGGCAAAGGATACCAAAGGACCTAATAAGTCGTAAATAAACTGACAACGCCATTGCAAAAAAAAAAACAAAAGACGAACAGACAAACGACAGTACATAAACCACAATATAGAAAACAAAAGATTGATCAACACGAATCCCACCAAAAACTGGGTGTGATCTCATGTGCTCTGGAAGGGTAAGCAGATCCTGCTCCACATATGACACTTCAAATGTTGAATTTCATTCTTTAGAACGTTGTTAGACAATCAGAAATTTTAGTAAGCGCTTTTGAAAATATTACCGAAATATATTTGGATTTAAGAATATGACATAAATTCTATTTTTTTTTTTTGTATTTGATTACACCCTGATACAAATTTGCAGAATGTCGATTTTTACAATTTCCTGAAATTATAAATTGTATTGCTCATGAATTACCATTGAGCAACTAAACAACATCAATTGGCTGTTGGTTATAATGTTATACGAATTTATGAGGTGATACAATGCAAATGTGACTAAAATTATTTGAATTCAAATTTATATGTTTATGTAACATACCCACAATCTTATATCAGATAAGAAATGAGGATTTAGAATGCTTACACAAAATACTTAAAATCTCAATGTTAAAGTGAATAACACCTTCAAATTTGTGCAACCTTCTCAAGCCTCAAAATCCAGAAAAAAAAATTATTCTTTATTTAGTCCATCTCAAATATTTGGCGTACCCTCGGTTGGTTAGATGTGCATCTGCACCGAATTACTCTATGTCATACTATTAAGGAAGGTAATGACTGACTCATTTTAATTCATTTATTTATAATGTTTTGAATAGACTACTGTAATCTCAGAAATTATTGCAATGTGTTTTATTAATGCGAATAATGCGATTGGGTTGATGAGTATCACAATAATAAGAACTTTCATTCTGATATTTGATACATATATCTTTAGGCAGATTTTCCTAAAATCGCAATAATTGATTTTGCATTTTTTATCCTTTTTTCAAAAATTGAAATATTAAATGCGCGTAATATTTTTTGAATTATCAGTATCTTATCGTTTTTTCAAAGATATTCTTAAGAAATCCCGATTCTTCTTTTCGTCGTTCAGGCATATTATAAACGACTAAAAATATAGGATAACCATAATTTCATCGGACTCGCAATTTTTACGAAGTGCAGCGGACAAGTTCAGAAGCAAGACGGAATAATTATGAAAATAATAAAATAAAAATAATTACCATAATAACTACGCCAAAGAAAGGCGGTCGTTCTGTAGACATAATAAGAGTAATTATAGGAAAATCTGTATACGCATTTTGTAATTATAGAACAGTGGCCTTCGGATAAAAATCCAACAAATAAACATATTTTCTCGGTTGACAGAAAACTGTTGTGATCCTTGAAATATAATAATGTAGCACTGGATAAGACACGTTATTATCCGATAAATGTAGTTTTGAGTCTTTAAATGATAAATGTAGTCTTGAATCAATAGAACAGTTGATTTAAATAACAAATCAAGAGAAAAGAAACAAAGAAAGTGTCGCAAATTCTTTGATACCGATATCTGTTATTAAGCTCACCTGGCACAAGTGGTCAAGCTAGCTTTTCCCGTCATATGGCGTTCGTCGGTCGTCGTCGTCGTCCGTTAATTTTTACGAAATAATTTCCTCTCTGAAATCCTGAGGCTATATTCAACCAAACTTGGCCACAATCGTCATTGGTGTATCAAGTTAAAAATTGTATCTGACCACCCCACCTGCCAGCCAACTTTACCGACATTGCTGAAAATAGAACATAGAGGGTAAAAGGCAAGTTTGTGTCTATTATCTTGAAAAGCGCACTAAATAGAGAAAATCTGAAAGTTTATAAATGTTCAGAATTGTGGGATTTACATACTGTCTATTTACGTCAAAACTGTCAGACGACTTTTTTTAGGACTTATTGCCCTTAAATGACGAATTTTGCCATTTTTTTCAGTTTTTGCCTATCATCTTCAAAATTATAAACAGTATAGAGAAACTTTAGTATACAAAAAACAGCAAGACAAGAGTGTCCGTTGGTGAAGATGCACATATACCTTGGAGAACCACTAGTTTCAGAAAAATAACAAAAGTTTTACTGATGAATCATGTGAATAAGAAAATTAAATAACAACTTGCACACTTACTTAAATGACATATAATTTTGACATATTAGGACAGGAACAAAACTATTTAGGCAAACAACTCATGCTAATGCTCTTAAAAGGTCATGACAAAATTATATTAATTTTTAATGAAATTCATATTTCAATATTGTTGGCATAACTGTATGTTCTAACCTTTCACAATCATCCAAATCAGAAACTTTTAATTTATCATGATTAGAAAAAATTATACAGTAAAATTATTGCCAGATTATGATCTATAAATCAATTGTTATTTCATGTAGATGGGTTGGATATAGATATCCTAATTATGATGGAGAGCAAAGTCTGTTTTTAAAAGGGAAGTATACAGCTTCTGTTAAAGCAAATGATGAAGGTGGATTTAAAAATGACCGAATTTCCTCGTTTAGCAAGATAATGGTGGTAAATATCAATTAGATTCGTTCTGTTTCATTAAAAACTTAACACGAGCAGGTATTTTTTATGTACATAAATCCTTTACGAAAAGTAAAAATAAAAAAATATCCGACGGTTATAACTGTGAACACTTTGACCAAAAGGAAAAAACGAAAAAAATGAAAGTTTCAAAAACACTGCAATAAACACCAAAGATTAAGAAACACATCGAATGGCGGATGACAGTTAATGTTGGCGCTTTCGGCAAAATGGAAGTATTTATGTGCAACTTCTTATCAAAATAAATGGATTCGTAGTAAAAGAGAGTTTGAAAATTACAAAATATATTCAAACTCACAAGTCTCACACAAACTGACAACGCATTGGCGAACAGTGAAAACGACTAAAAGATAGGCAATGGTCTACAAAATACAGCATACAAACCTAAAGACTGAGCAACACGAATCCTACCAAAAACAGGGAGTGATCTCAGGTTCTTCGGAAGGCTTCAACATGTTCATTGTTAAATTATAAGATATAACTTAAAGATAAAAAGAATATTAATCTTTTTATCAGAGAGTACAAGTTTATTCTGGCGATGACCATTGATAAAACAAACTTATTCTCCACGTACTTTAAACTCTAGTAGCTAGCTGTCTCATTGACAATCATCCTTATTTCCTTATTCTAATATTTTTTATAAACATTCAACTGAAATAGATATTATTTATAATAAATTCAATAATTGTTGCAGTATTCTTCAGGCGAAAAATACGACAGAATCATTTTCGCAATAAGAAAAAAATACATAATTTCAGAAGTGATTTTCCTTTACAGAATGTTTGCATTCGATTAAATTATATCTAGCATGGTTACCAGCAAGCAGTGATTTGCAATGAATATTGCATCCTTTAACTTGAAAAGTGCTCAAGATTTAACAAGAAATTATTAAGATTTTTTCAAAATAAGTTAACGTAACAGTAAGAGGAGGTGCATTCATGTGTTACATGTTTAACTGTTCATAGGTACGAGACGGGTCTAAAAGCTGTGCGTACAAGCTTAAATTCGTTTTATTGTATATGTATCATAAGAAGTTAGGAACATTTTCCCAACTTTTCATTTGATACAAACACCCCTTTTTGGAGTCGGAGATAATTTTAATGACTCTCGCCATCAACTTCACAATTTAGAGTTTAAACAAACTATCTGCACGATATTATATCAATCTCAGTTGAAACGCTATGTAAGATATCGTTCTCCTTATGAAATTCAATTAAAAGCTTTAAACTACTCCTGTAGGTTTAAAATCATTATTATCGTTTTACAAGTTTTCCGGTACACATGACAATTTTATGTACTGTGTACACATTTACTCAGTCATGGACTCTAAGGTAGCAGTTGGGGTTTATTTTACTGTCTTTTTACAGTTTTAAGATAACACCATTCTCATTCTATTCTATATATTTAGTGTTTAAATTTTCACCTATAAACATCTGATAACCTTATTATTCTACCGTCATATCTAACCCTTTAATGGTTTTGTAGCTTAACGTACGTCATATATTAAAATCAAAAATACAAAAAGACGGAAAGTGCTACACAACAAAACATCAGTAAACGCGCCAATCCCATATTGTTTGTCATATGAATCTTTAAAGTTGGGTTTACTATTAAAACTAATTCTTTCTCTTATATCAGTACACTATATCATTGTGGCCTGAGGAAACGGTGAATATTCAAAATTGTTCCCAGCACGAAGTTAAATACTTTTGTAGGGTTTTCAATATTGGATATTCATCGCTTTTAAGGGCCACAATTGTTTAATTATGCCGAACAAACAGTAAAGCGCCGATTAAGCCATTGAAGAAGAATTGCTTTACTGTAGTCACTGATTTTCAAACTACATGAACTACTCACGTTAGAAAATTTGTTTGTGTCTTAGATTCTAAATTAGAATTTTTCGTATGTACAACAAAGATAAACTCTTACTGTAAAATATTGATGACCGTGAAAAGGACCGTTTTTGAGGGCTATCCTAGGCACTTGATTTATTCCCAAGCCTTGTTTACTCGTCACTTAATGTGCTTTGAACTTGGCCGTTTTCATTTAAATACGTCTGTGACGTCATTCTGATGGGAGATAACTCGTGTACAAATCAAGAAGCTCAAAAGGTTATAAGATTATTCATCGCTGGGTGTTGATTTGAAGGTTATTCTTACCTCTTTGCATTTAAATGTAAATTAACTGAATCATTCCATGTCACATGATAATGTGTTACCAAATAGAATTGTTAGTCACATGATAATGTGTTACCAAATAGAATTGTTTGTCACATGATAATGTGTTACCTAATAGAATTGTTTGTCACATGATAATGTGTTACCAAATAGAATTGTTTGTCAAATGATAATGTGTTACCAAATAGTATTGTTTGTCACATATATAAGGTAAAATAAAAATATTTATGATTATAACTATTGTGTATACCTATGTGCAGTTATTTCCTTTAAGAACGATAGGTCATTCTTTCGAAGAATCAACCCGGCCGATACCATGTTTCAATGAAATATGCTTCAAGGCATAAAATAATGACCTGTGTAAGGTCATTATTTTCCTTGATAAAAATGCAAACTATAATTTACATCAAAATTTAATTCGTCTTTGATAGGTTCTACAAAAATCGTCATTGACCCGCATTTTAACTTTAGAAACAAATAAGATGAAGTTTTGTTAATATATCGCTACAATACAGGGACATAATTATATATGGGAGATGAATTTTAATGTTAAACTATCCATAACACTTTTTTAAAAAAGCCAGATTTAACACATTCGTGTGTAAGATTTTGAAAATCTTATTCATTTATTGTATAGATATTCGTTTTCGTTCTCGTGTTACATGTACATGTATCACGATTTCGTGCTCTCATCGTGTCAGTTCTTAACTTTTTTACATTTATGTATACCTTTCACTCTGTCAAATGATCAACTAATAAAATACATGTGTATTCTTATATTCTATTGATTAACATCCACGTACCTCACAATGGGGTCGGGTTGGAGGGGGGATAATCCTGATTATCTAAAAATGTATTACCATTCAAAAGAAAATTATTCGAAATATTTCATTTGATTCGATTAAATTGTTGAAAAAATAATCACTTTTCCGCGATAAAAATTTCATAACAAATAAAACATAGCACCCCCTTCCATAAACTAAGTTAGTACAATAAATTACTTACAAAGTGACTTGTATTTTTCATACACCGTCATCGGGTGGTAACAATTCATTTGTGTCTTACCTCATGCAGTTACAGTAATATTGTCATTGTGTCTGGATAATGATTTCTAAGGTTTATATATAGATTAATTAGTGAGTTTTATTTCACATTCTCAATGAGCCGTAGGGCGTATTAAAACCTGAACGCATTAGAAAATAATATCCCACTTTCGTATAGTCGGTAAAATAGGATGCTTATTCTGCAAATCTTTGTAGAAATAATATTTTGTTGACGGTATATAAGTCAGATAATGCATATTTCAAGGTTTTTCTTGTCGTAGAACACACCGAGGGGTGTCAGGATTGGTCAAATGAAAGACCGACCGTAGGGAGGTCTTTCTTTGGGCAATTCTGACACCCCGAGGTGTGTTCTACGACAAGAAAAACCTTGAAATATGCATTATCTATAACATAATTATACATACTATTGTTTTGTATGACTTTGACCTCGTACCATAGAATGACATTCAGTTGAACCTATATACACAGCTTTGTCAATATGTGGTACATGAGTCTTCTTGTGAATTGATTATTTACCATTATAAGCATACACTTACATTCGACGCAATAAGAATTGATACAGGTGGGTTGTTTAATACGATTATTTTTTTGGTGCTTCCATTTGAAACTAGTAATTACATTTAAAGTATATTTAATATATATATAATGAACCTTTTTGTTTACCTACAACATGTTAAAAGGGATTACGAAGAAGATTTATTATCTCTTAGTATTGACACGAAATATTTTCATTTTGCTAAAAATGTTTTATTCGTTGTCATCGTTAACTTCATCTGTGCTATTAAAGTTCTTTTTTTAATATTCAAGAAACCCTCACCTGAAGATAATATGAAGCTGCTCCAGATTGATTATGACTTGGATAGAGCAAATATCGTCAGGACCCCAACATCTGTCTTCAGCTGGACTCAAGTGAATAATACCTCAGTAGAACAGACGGTTACAAAAACCGATGAAGTGACAATACAAAGGGAAGATACGTATGAGTTTAGATGGGATAGAGCAGCTAAAGTATCATGTAAATATGCTGAAATAAGAATATTTATCAGAATCAGGAAGTAATTTAATGATGAATATTGGCTCTGTCATTCAATGGAGGAAATACATCGTAGTTGTCGAATGTCAAGACGTATATATATTATTAAAATCGTTTATCTATATTATTGAAAATCATGTCCATCATTAAATTTTTTCCACGAATTGTTATTAATTTTTTAACTGCATATTTGATTCAATACAGTTGTTTGATGTCAAATTGTTCAGGGTTATTTTGATTAAATTTCACGAATTAACAGCAATAACTTGTAGTTGCTTATTTTTCGATTAATGAAACGCAAAGATACATAACCTTAACCAGCATAGTGTATCATTGTCGGTTCTACATTTTTACATTATATCTGTTTATTTGATTGAGAACAGAACTCTAGGTCTTGATATAAACAAAACTGTTTGTTTCTGTGTGTCCATGATGAACCCGTCTTTCCTTTTGACTCTTTAATGCATACAATTTCAAACTGGAGTAAAGCTACACCATAATAAAACAGACGAAACAAGATATAGTGTAAAAAACATACAAAATTTACTGAAAGCAATTTATAATGTAATGTAATCATGGTAATATGACTCCTTATACGAATAAATCGGCATGTGTAATAATTATGTCTGGTTTTTTTTAAAACTACAGTCACTTTCTCGAGTCGTATAAATATAAAGAGATGTGATATGTTTGCGTATAAGAAAACTTATTATCTGAAAATACAACGATGTAAACATCCACATGTCAAAGTATTTTTTTCGACTTTAATCAAGACATATCCCTTGAAGTAAGCATTAAAAAGACCCAGTAATCATCGATGTATAACAATGTTAAGGAAACACAAATTACTTGCTAAAAGGTATAACCGAAACACTCATGAGGGATATAAAAAAAAAACGATAACCAGTGGATTACAAGATCCAGGCTTTAAACAGGCACGCAAAGAATGAGGCAGGCTTGCATATGTTTTGTGACGCTAAATCTACACACAAGCACTGGACAAACAGGTTTACATTTGTCAATTTTTTGCGGCAGACAGAAGCCAATAAACAAATGTAATTTACAGATAATATATAAGTCTGATACGCAAATAAGATACTGACAAATGTAAATCGACCGACAAATGTACCAGTATTTGTATATTCAAACCTAAAATCTGTCTACATTTTTGATGAATATACCCTTTTGAGAATTAAGTGAAAATGTGGCGTATGTTATATTACAAGATGATTGCTTCTGTGTGTAACGACGAGAATGTCAAATAAGTCTCTTATGATGCTTACACACTTGCAAAGAAGAAAAGTCGTGTAAATCATTGGCTTTACAGCCTTTAAAAACTCATAAATACAAACAAGACTAGTATGTCATCTAAATAACACTCATAATACTCGAATCAAAATATTTAGAGGTCAAAATCAAATACAAAGTTGAAAAGCAAAAAAAAAAAAAAAAAATTCCGAAAGCACTTTCAAATACGACTAAGGCAATAGTTTCATTAAGAACATAACTGTCCCTAATGTCTCCTTGATAATAACTGATAATGCCAACAGATGTTATTGAAAAAAAAATCGATAAATTGTTTATAATACTGTAAAAGTTTGGTAAAAAATATGCCGAAATTATTTCAGAACCTCAAATACCGCATGTTGAATTGCCCATCCAATTTACTCCTACTACATGTACTATAATGATGTTATCTGCTGATATATATATACAATTTTGTTCAAATACTGAAAAATGTCAAATAATATGTAATTATAGCAACAATGGCAGCATATGTTGGAATTCCATTAGTTGGTGAAACAGAAGTCAGTATTAGCGCTGAGATGTCTGTTAGTATGGGGATAAATGCAGGAACAAAAAGGTCAAAAACAGAGACATGGATTGCAGAGTATCCATCGAAAATTCCTCGGTATTCAACGTATGTATAATATAATAAAATTATGAGTCCTGAATCTGTTTGTCTTATACCCAATGACATATATATTCTGTTATAACAAAACGGTTCACTATAATAATGGCATCGTCTTGATTGTTCCACATTTGTGATAACTGCACGAAAAAACGATGAAGTTAATTTGGACGATCAGGAATGTTTATAAAAAATCAGAAAATGTGGAATGCTGCAAAACATAGACTTTGGCTACGTAAACATAAATATGAACAAAGAGCAGTTCAATGCATACAAGTAAAATAGGTAAATCGCACGCGTGAAAAAGTCCTAAATCAAACACAGTACAAATTTAAATAGCTGTATAAAGATAAAAAATATTTTTTCAACTCATTGAATTATTTTATATTTTTACAATATAACAATAAGGAAATTCAAAATGATTGCCAAATTATTGCAAATAAGAGACTGATGATAAGTCGTAATCGATATGATTACATTATATAGCTAGATTGTAATAGCTATGTGTTCACATCATGTGTTATCATGAAACGTAATTACTTTCTAACAATAACTAATTGTCGAGTTATTCACTGTTTTAATGCAGACATTTATCCATTCTGATACTTTCTATAGCCAGTTAGACACTTTTTTAAGAATTCGATCATTAAAATGATATCCTGACATCTGCTTCAGAATATCTTATGTGAGAATTTCTTTTGTACAATTTTAGAGTAACGATGACATCAAAACTTACTCAAGGAAATATCAGCATTCCATTTACTGCCATATTGAGTTACGAAAACGACACAGAACGAACAATTACAGAAAAGGGCGTGTTTTATGGATGTCAGTTCTTTGACTTCCATACCGATTTCAACGAAACAAAACTGCCGTAGACAACATAAACAGTTCATGATCATATGGTGTGTAGTTTATTTATTCGTAACCAACCGTGCAAGACCCTCATGGGCAGTAAAGGTTGTTAAATAAAGCCCTGGTAGTAGTGTTTTGTATGTCCAAAGTTATGTATATCAAACAATTTTCCCTCTTCGTTTTATATATTATAAAATAATTATTATAGTTGATCATATAGTTATTGTGCTTTTGTCGATGTACGGACATTTTATATAAGTAATCGTTACCAGAACACAACATGCGCTCCTTGAAATAACACTACTTGAGAAATCTGCGTTGTGAATATCTGTTTTAAGTGTAATTTGGTCAGATGTTTTCAAACTAAAAACTTACCCTTAAATGTAAAGTTGTTCATATATGACGTCAGATTCCAAAATCAGTCTATTGAGCTGTTAAATCTTATTACAAATAAACAAATGCAAACACGTTTTTTTTTATTATTTTCATTGGAGTTCTTAGTCAATACCTGTATAGAAATAAAGAGATGTCGTTTGAATGCCAATCAATCAATTATCCACCACAATCGAAAGAATAAGGATGAAAACAAATGCAAGTCACCGTATGGCTTTTATAAATTAACAAAACCATTACCTTTAATGGAATATAAAAGACCGTCCCGTGATAGAAAAATCTGAAACAATTTAAAGGAGAAAAAAATGGCTCTAATTAACGCCAACAAGAATAACAAAAATCAATTATGGCCGATAGCAACCAATGAAAATCTCAGAACTACTTGCTCATAGTTTGGGCCAATCACATAAGGAATGTGCCACGGTTTAACATGTTTTGAAGCACTCAACACTCCCTCTAAACATGGGACGATAGAGTAATAGTACATTATATCAACAAATAAACATTGGTTTAAAAGCTTGACTAATCATACCAGTGCTAGCCACAAAAGTTAGATGCTACATCAAAAAAGACAGAAACTACCGATTTAATAGTATTCGAAGTTGCCAAAAGCAAGTTTAAAGTCCATTTGTAACTTTTTTTTATAACCATTTTTCCAATATCAAAATATCAATCAGTACACCTCCAACAAATTTGTTTTAGACGTCATACACATTATTAGCAAGGGATGATCTGGTGCAATGTCAAAATATAAGTACGCGTTAATGTTTGGTTAATGTAGAAACCGTATGCCAGAAGAACACTGGATCAATTTGTTACGCTGCATTAAAGTAGTGGACTTCCACATATATTTAATATAAATCATGTGAAATTGTCTAATGTTTCCGCTAAATAATAAAAATATTTGAAACGTATATCTTAATAAAAAAAAGTTAATAAAAAAACTTCCAAAATTTAAATCTTTTCAGTCAAGTTAATTAAACGTTATTGTCGGAGAAAAATTGCAACTAATGATGTATATAAAATTGAAACTGGAAACAAGGAATGTGTCAAAGATACAATAACGCGACCATAGAGCAGAAAACAGCACAATGCCACCAATGGGTCTTCAATAAAGTATGTTTATATATATAGAAACAATCAAAAGTATTTGTTACTTAACGTTTTTTAATCATTATAACATGTATAAATAATTTAATTTTGGATGTAAGGCGTCTTCTGATAAGCTGACGTTGTTTTGTTTATCAGCTCATAGACATAATTTTGTCATGTGACCGTGGCGTCATCAACGTTTTTTCATGGTTTACTCCGGTTTAAAATGGAATTTAGAATTAAATTATAAGAAATGACTGTATTATTTTTTCTGTTTATTCGAAATAACATAAAAAATGTGGTGCACACTTTCAAATACGCGGGTTACTCAGTGTGCACCACATTTTTTATGTTATTTCTTCATAGACAGAACAAATATTACAGTCATTCCTTAAATGTGAGTTAAATATTGACTAAATTTGAAGGTTTTTTATAACTATCCGTTGCATAATTTAGAAATTAATAAAAGAATAAGGTTCCAACTCCCTTTTGATCTTTATTGGATTTCGCTTTTCTTTCCGTCCCATATGGTTATGTAGCTAATCATGTATTCAAATATTTAGACTTCCCGGGTTTTAAAAATATCGAGTTTGAGTTATTCAAGAAGGAAAATCCAGAAAAAAATAAAAACGTTTTTTTCACTCTCTCATATTATCTTCTAAAAGTTAGTTATATAACGAAACGAAAATAAACAAAATTAACACAAAAAAAAACAAGAAACGAAAGAAGAATCAACGGAACAAAAAGAAATAAAGCGAAACGAAATACAAATTCAATAACCAAATTTATTATAATAACGAAGTAGAAATTTATGACTATTTTCTCCAATGAATGGTTGATAAATATCATTTTGATGATAGTGATGAATAAGTGTTTAATGTCCAGTGACAAATGTGTCATGCATATCATTGGAACGAGAACACGTTATGGTGTTTGGATATGAACCCTAACAGAACGAGAACACGTTATGGTGTTTGGATATGAACCCTGACATACAAACTAAGCCGATTTTTATAAGTGCTATCTGCACCAGGAAACAGTCCACTAGACAACATGTCAACCTGCTGGGACACATTATTCCGACTCCGTGCAGACCAGTTGTTGCTCTTTTTCCTTAATACCGCTTAATAGTTGAGAAGAAAAAAAATCACAATTTTCAATTTCTAGTTTGACTATGACATGACCGGGTACAGAAACGGCGACCTCCTGCAATTGAGACGAATATCCCACCACAAAACCACTCATGCGGTTAGAACAACTCTGTTTGATTACAAATAAGTATCTTCTTAAGTGAGACGGAAGATACCAAAGGGATACTAAAAGTCATGGAAGACAAACTGACAACGCCATAGCAACGTATGAAAGATGAAGAAAAGACAAACAATAGTCTACAAAATAAATGGAAAACTCACGACAGAGCAAAACGATCTTGGTTTGAACTAATACACGAAACAAAGGGGCATTTTCCGGGACTCCGGGAGGGTACGTAGATCTTGTTCCACATGATTGCTCTCTTATCAACATATGCCGTAGAACTATGCCGTGTAATAAGTGCTTTATTTATTTCTACAAAATTTGGTTCAAATCGGCTGTGTAGTTTCAGATGGTGGATTTGTCGATTATAAGTCAAAGAATGCATGTGTCTGCCATGCAATGTTTTATGTCGATCTTATCTAAATGAAAACTGCTTGTTAAGGGCATTCCATGGACGATCAGGAATTCTTGCGAGTTTATGGTAATAGCTGAAATGACCTTTTTGGCCAGTTAAGTTAATCCTATTCGGAATGGTGACATTGATCCCTTATTATTAAAATATGAATCAGATTAATTTTATTTCGTTTCGTTTTGATTCTTTTCGTTTCGTTCAATATTTTCATAGAACATGCTGATAATACAGTAAACGTACACAACAAACCCTCCTGGAAATATTCCGTTTTTTTTTATTTCCGTCATATCATGTAAACCGATTTTGGCTACTTTATGTTCCTTTTACCTTGTTGACTTGTATTCAAAATGTACAAAAATAAATTTGAAAAAAATTAATAATTTATTAACTTGGGCATGACATTAACAAATGGGAAATTGAGAATATGAAAAAAAACGTTTCAGAATATAATACATCCTGGGTAATGTTTTAACATTGGAACAACAATTCAATTTAATTGGCTAACAACGTCATAAAAAAAAGAAATTCAGCCTTTGACGTGACAGTATTTTCAATTTTGGGTTCGCACAATGAAACTAATCATAGATTTAGAAACGGCGAATCGACACAACTAACCCCGAAGTTTCTTCATTCATACCTTACAATATTTTAAAATCTTATGTATAGTGAAGACGTAATAAGTACACGTAAATTGAGATCAAAACTTTACGATAAAAGAGATTACTTTAACTTCCCAATAGTAAATTTTCCATTTCTATATAGCAACATTTCAGCAGCGCCTGCTTATCGAGTATATATCTCGCTGTGGATATTCTACATGTGTTCCAGGGCTTGCATTATATATCATTATTTCCTTCATAGAGGGTTATCGCTCAAAAGAAAGCTATTAAACCAAGCGTTCAAAATGGTGAAGTTGAAATCATCCCTTCGAAAATTTTACGGACGCCATTACGAGTTGTTTGACCTTTATTTAAACCATTGTGGTGACGTCAGCCTATTCATTTACCGTGGATTCTTTTTCTAGAATCAACGCTTCCTAAATCTGCCACTGAAATTGACTCACCAAATTATATTCAATTGTTTCCTTTGTGTGCCTAATTTCATTAAGTTTGAATTGGCTAATTTACTGATTTCTGTTCACTAATGGAATTAATTTAAAAACTTACCTTTAATTTTTGTAATTTTTATATGCCTTCAGTGGGAATCGAACCCTTCCTTGAAATCTGTTATGTGTGACTGACATCAACACATCGGCGAAACCTCTCGGCTACCAATGGGTTACACTATAGATGTCTATTTTATATATTTAAATGGACATCTGATATACATCGGTTCATCGGACACACAGGGCTTGTACCTTTATATAGACACAATAGGCAGTCGTATAGTATGAGTTGGTAGCCGTGAGGTTAGCATGCTTAAAATCAATGAGTTAAAGATAGGGATGTGTCGGTTTAGGTTCGAATCCCTGTATTCTCTCTGTTGTTCCAATACTTAAGTTATCCTGGTTTTATTCTAATTTTGCATGTTATAGTGGATATTTTTGTAATAATAGCGAGTTTTACCGTTTTTTTTTTAATTATTATTGGCTATATCACATGTTTGAAACAAAAATGATTACATTCTATTTGTCAATTTTTGTTTTATAAATATAGTATGATTTCATCTGTTTTACTACATAATTTTACAAAGGTTTGTTCGCAAATTCCTATGCGAGAAAATCGTGATGTGGCTAGAGTGCTAGAAAAATTTCGATAACTTACTAATTATATATACTTTATATATGATTTTTGGTCGGGTTGTTGTCTCTTTGACACGTTCCCCATTTCCATTTTCAATTTTATTAGAAATAATTTCGAATATGTCTTATTTTGTATAAACAGATAATATTCATATGCCTGGTAATATAAAGATCTTTAAAGGTAAAAGTGTTATTTTGGTATTTCATTCTCAATTTTATTTTGTTAACCAATTAATTGTGATCTGAGATTAATCAATGCATCGTTGGACACGATAACATGGTTATTTAAACTCACTTACAATACCTTCTAATTAAGAAAAGGCTTTAATTTTGAAAAGAAATTAACACAATAGTTTAAGTTATAGATACAATGGATAAGCGTCGATTCATGAAAAACAAACCATTCGCCCTCCGGGCTCATGGTTTCTTTTTCAAGAATCCACGCTTATCCATTGTATCTATATAACGGAATATCTGTTTCACAGATGACGACAGATATGTTCCAATTTTCGTAACCACAATACCGTCCTCTTTTTCCCGATTGTGACCTACCGAATTTGATTTCTTACCGGATCTTTT